TCCTGTGTTCAAAAGATCTGTGATATTATAATACATGACACATGACAGAGCTTTCATAATATCCTGTAATGTACAAACAATGTACTATGATGACCACTTTAGTGCATACTGTATAGAAGACCAAATGAATGTGTTTTCTGTCATATCTGTGAAGGCACTGACTTATTTTAGACCATTTGACAAGCAATGCTCTAATGACAATAGTCAAAGAGCATACATAGTGCCTTATTGTTACATTTAGATAAATGTACAGCAATGAAAAAAGATTTGGTAATGTTGATGCATTTGAAGAAATAAAAATGTTAAAGTAGTGAACTTGTCATTCGTATTTCTAATTATTGACATTTCATTTAGAGATTTTTTTTTGGTGTGGGGGGGCGGGGGGGGGCAGCAATAACACTTTATAGTGTTAATGGGGCAACTCCTTTTATAGTATGCACATCACACTATAAGAGTTAATTAATGACTCCGATGAGTATTAATTTCTAACACTACCCACTGGTGTTGAGAAACTAACGCTTGAGTATTGTTAAATTTCAACTATATAAGAGTTAAAATTAACTCTATAACAGTGTTAAAATGGCAACACTTTAAAAAGTGTTACATTGACACTGTGTAGTGTGGACCCCATGGGACACTTTAAAAGTGTTAAAATTAACTACAATAGTGTTAATTTGAGTCTGTCCATTTTGCTGTGTACATGCCAACCTTTGCATTTAAAGTTAAATCTGAGGGATCATGAGGTGATTGGTGGGAAAGGAAGGAGAAAAGTTCTGTTACATATATAAAGTCATATTTTGGACTTTTCTCCAATCTTGGCTTCATTATGAAGTAGTGATAATTATTAAATAAAGCCATGTGAGAAGTTCAGAGGAGACATGTTGATGAATCTGCTGACCTTCAGAAACGTCAGGAAAATGACAAGAAGCAACAAAAACACATTTAATAAACAATCCATAATCCAACATCTGATAGTGGAGTAAAAGTAAAACATTTCACTCTCAAATGTAGAGAAGTACTTTCATCAGAGACTGTAGACTCAAGTCTTGTTGCTCTTTTTTCAGTGTACAATCTGTTTGATTTGAAACCACAGATTCTCCTCCAAAGCCCAGGATTGAGATCTCAGGTGATGTGAAGGAGAAGGAGTCTGTCTCTATAAGCTGCTCAGCTTCCACTCCCTGTCCACACTCTCCTCCTCAACTCACCTGGAACCTCCAACCAGACTCTCACCACATGATGGAGGAAAACACAGATCGAACCTTCACAACTAGAATCCAGAAGAGCATCACTCTGTCACCTGAACATGATGGATTCATCATCACCTGTTCTGCCAGATATCCTGTGAATGAAGGAAAAGATGTAAAGACGTCAGAGGAGAGAAAGACTCTCAGTGTTTCATGTGAGTGTTTGTTCTTTGATCCTGTCAGCATACGATGATTCATGTGTTCACACAATGTCCGCTGCATGAAGTTTTAATGTCACATATTCCTCAGATGCTCCCAAGAACACCTCGGTGTCCATCAGTCCATCAGGTCGGGTGTCAGCAGGTAGCCGGGTGAACCTGACCTGCTCCAGCAGAGCCAAACCTCCTGTGAGCCGCTTCACCTGGTTCAAGACCAGCAGAGATGCACCAATCAAAGTATCTGAAGGAGACTTTTACAGCTTCAATGTCACTGATGGAGAAGTTTATTACTGTGTGGCCACCAATCAGCTTGGTGATCAAATTTCATCAGAGATCCATCTGACTATAGGAGGTAACTAATAAAGGTATTTCAGTAATCAATATTGTTACATTCCCATAGTGTCTTTATTTAGTCACTTGTTTTTTTTCATCTTGTCTTGAGGTGGAGTTAATTATCCACTATTGGGTGCAGTTCTTGGAGGAATTATTGGGATCATCGTGCTCATCGGCCTGGTTGTCTTTGTTTGGTCAGTAGCATCAGTAAAGAATGTGTCTCCAATTAAACGTGGTCTTTTTTTGGTATTCTGTGTATTAGACCCAACATTTTTTCTTGCAGGCGTTTGAAGTCTCCACATCCAACTGCACATCAGAGTCAGGTGAGAACACACCAAACAACTCTGTGTGGTTTTGTTATTATTTGGAATCAAGCTGCTTCCACAATCACTTCCTGTTTGCTTCATTTATTCTTTTATGCAGAATCAGACTTTTGAAGAGACAGTGACAACAGAAGAAGGAGACGTCCACTATGGAGAGATTAACTTCTCGAGGCTCAGATCTGGACCGTCCTCGGTCTCGGAGCAGAATGGTGGACAGCAGGAGGACACGCTGTATGCGCAGGTCAAAGTGTCCAAGGCAGCAGACAACGTCACACGGACTGCTGACGTCCCAGAGGATCTCTACGCTCAAGTGAAGAGAAAATGAGCCGTTTCTTGTGGTCACATTTGGGTTTTATTGTTAAGATGCTTTTTACAGATGGTGGGGACGAGTCCGCCTACAGGTGGGAGTCTGACCATCTGGTGTCATGGTGCAGCCAGAACAACCTTGAGCTCAATGCTGTAGTGGAGATGGTTGTGGATTTCAGGAAGAACAAAGTCCCACCCTCCCCCTTCACCACTGTGGTTTCCTGGGCTCCATCATCACCCAGGACCTCAAGTGGGACCTGAACATCAGCTCCATCACAAAGAAGGCTCAGCAGAGGTTGTTCTTCCTGAGGCAGCTGAAGAAATTCAACGTGATGGTGAGAGAGTGATCGGCTGCAATCTGCCGTCCCTCCTGGACTTCTTCGCCTCCGGGACCCTGAAGAGAGTTTAAAAGATCGTAGCCGACCCCTCTCACCCCAGACAAAAACTGAGGTCCATCAGGACTAAGACCTCCCTCCACACAAACAGTTTCTTCCCGTCGGCAGTCAGGCTCATCAACAGAGCCCAGTCCCCCACTGACTGAGTCTGACATTCCACTGGTCACTTTCTTTCTCACTGCACACGTCAATTTCCCTTGTCACTTTTCAATTTTTAACTTTAACTTGTATTCCTTTATTTTTTAACTAACCCATAGCCTTATATTTTAATTTATTCCTTGTGTGAGCTTGTCTTGTCGTCCTGTCTGCTGTTACGCACCAACCGCCAAGTCAAATTCGTTGTATGTCTGACATATTATGGCAATAAATGTTTACTGATTTCTGACTTCAAACCTCCACACCCTGCAGCTTAGGTGGTTCAGCAATATTTTAATACATTTTACACCTTAAGGTCTGTTCATCAGACCAGTACAAAAAACGTCCCACGGCTCTAAACAAAGAAGTATTCTAACAAACGCCGCTGTTCATATATCATGTGCTATTATCATTTATAGAGCTATTTTTTTTAATACATCTTTTGCATCAACCACGTTTTATTGTACTATTTCACAGTGATGGCAAAGTGAAGCTTTCCAGCCAATTGTATGGGAAAAAGGTTCATTCATTCATTCATCGCAAACTACGATGACCTCTGCTGTTGAAAACCTATAGTGCATATGTATCGAATAGCCTACCAGTATATTTTGGCCCAGTCTCTGTGGGTTGAACATGATTATGAAAAGTTGAACCAATAAATCATCTAATACATGGATTCATGAATCATGATTCATTCTATATGAATAAAACTTGTTTTTTAGCTTTGAATTGTGTCCTTGTTTGTGTATTTCAATTCTTTGTACATTGGCAAGAAGTGGAACAAGCACTTATCTATCTTTCTGCACCTTTGTGTGTGTGTGTGTATATATATATATATATATATATATATATATATATATATATATATATATATATATATATATGCTTGTTGACACATGGGATGGGGCATGAAATTATTGTTTTTTATTGAGAAACACAATTTTCTTCACAGTATTGGGGTTGAGTCGGTTTCTTTTTGCAGATACTATTTCCCCTGCCTTAGAAAAAAGGCGCTCACACGGCACGGATGAGGCAGGAATACTCATAAGATTACGTGCTAATACAAATAGATGTGGGTACACATGTTTGTCCCAATATTTTAGCGGGTCTTCACTCCGTGGAATGTTTGATTCAGCCAAATATCTGGTGGTCTCCACAATAAAAATAAACATCCATAACTACACAATAAAAATGACAGACTTCGCCTGCCTATTGCCAACCTTGTTAGAGGAAATCAAATTGTAGTGCTCCCACATCTCGGAGCGACCTCTCTGCCACAGGTTCCATTGTAAATTTGCTCTTTGCTACTACTACTACAACAACACTGACTTTGACTGTATCAAACCGACAAGCCCGAATCCTGTTTCGAGCCCATTTGAATCAAATTGAAGCGGTCACGTGACTGTGCGCCGGAACGAAGCTTCGGACGTCAGTGATCATGTGATCAGCAGTGAACGAACCGAGCACCGATACATTTGCTTCGCCCTGCACTGGTTCATATTTCGACACAAGCTTCGAAGCAGGAGGGCCGGAGGTAACAACACTACTATTTCGTCTTCTTCAAAATACACATTAGATAAGCTTACAAAGGGATACAAATCATACAAATCATACACTGGATGCCCAATTGGAAAAACGTTGTCATTTCCACCCTTCACAGGCAGAAGAGGAAGAGCAAGTGGAGATGATGTCTGCATCTTTTACAAATAAGTAAAAAGCAGGCTCAAATTTACAAACAGTGCGAGTGAGTTTTGGGTGAAAAACAGTGATTCCTCTGATGTCTCTATACTCTTTGGCCGGGTGATTCAACGTATAGTAAGTATGCGATTTTACGACAGTGGAATGTTGCAAATATGCTTTCGGGTGACCATGTCAAAGGGCAAACTGAAAGCCATCTGAATGGCCGCTGATTGTATCGAAACACACTGCAAGCAAGTGTATAAATAGTGAATAGAATCTCAGCGCAACCGCACATGAGAACCCACAATTTCCCGAAATGTTTGAGTAAACTTGAGAAAACGACATAAAAAGTTTTGAAGAATTTCACAGCGCAGCATTACTTCCGCCTGCATGCTGTCTGCAGCGTGAGTGCTGTGAGTTATGTTCTATGCTTTCTGCCAGTAGGACTTTACAGCACACTGGACAAAGTGACAAAGTGAAATAAATGTTTTGTCCCTTGGTAATACCCGGGAAATGGTCTACTTTACTGTATTGTACCCTGCTGATAATTGTTTTGCCACGGTTCCCCCGAATGAGAAAATCAAGACCCCCGCAGAAAGTGTGAGTGACCGTGTGTACACGCGTGTCCACAATCTTCTGTAACGTTTACTCCAATAACCACTCTGTGGGCCTCTCTCTCACTCTCACTCTCTCTCTCTCTCTCGTTCTCTCTTTCTCTCTCTCTCTCTCTCTCTCTCTCTCTCTCTCTCTCTCTCTCTCTCAATGCTTAATAAAAAAACGCAATAATCGTCAATAGTTTTGTCAATAAGCGCAATTACTTAATGAATTCAAGTTGAAGACAATTTTTTAAGAAACGTTAGTTGATGCGTTAACAATCCCAATCACTTATTTTTTTTAATATGCTTGAAATATCCACATCCCCAATGTCTCTTCTTGTCTCTCCCTACAGGACAACAGAAGGTGGATCAGCACCCTAGAGAGAGGGCTAGCGCAAATCGTGGCACCGGCAACTCGCTGAGGCACTTGTTGCAGGTTGCGGTGCCGCGGCGAATCGTGGCAGCTGCCTCAAGTTTACGGCAACTGCCTCGTCTGTTGCCTCGGCTGAGTGAGGTACCTCGAGCGGTACCACGAATTCAGGGGCCGGTTCATCGGTCGAGAGAGGTACCTCTAGCGGTACCTCAAGTTAAAGGAGTCTTGCCACGACCTAACGGAGGCATGCAACAACCAAAGGGAGCGGTGCATCGGCTGATAGTGGTACCGGGAGTTTAAGGGAGAGGTGCCACGGCTGTTAATAGACGTACCGGGAGTTTAAGGGAGAGGTGCCACGGCTGTTAAGGGAGCTGTGCCTTGGCTGATGTAGGTACCGGGAGTTTAAGGGAGAGGTGCCACGGCTGTTAAGGGAGCTGTGCCTTGGCTGATGTAGGTACCGGGAGTTTAAGGGAGAGGTGCCTCGGCTGATAGACGTACCGGGAGTTTAAGGGAGAGGTGCCGCGGCAGTTTCCGTTAATTTTAGTATTCACATGTGTGCAACATGTGACAGTATAATACAGTTTAAGTACGACTGTTATCTGCGGGTTGAGTTGCCGTGGCGAGTGGGCTATTCGATACATTTGCACTACAAGTTTTCAAGAGCAGAGGTCATCATAGAGTTTGCGATGCATTGAATGAATTAACCTCTTTACGATACAATTGTCTGGAAAGCTTCACTGGTTCAGAAAGCTTCACTTTGCCATCACTAGTGAATTTGCCGTGCGCTGGTATACCCCTTGTCATGATCTGATTTGGCTTGGAGGTGTGTTTCTGAGTTTCAGGCTGGGCGAGCAGGTTTCCCTGGTTACCTGGGCGGAGTCTGGTGGCTGCCTGCTGTCACACCTGTCCTGCATTTACAATCGTCAGGAACCCTTCTTAAGGAGCAGCAGGAGCACCAGTCTTTGCCCTTCTAGTGGTAACTTCGCTAGCTCTCAACAGAGATTGATTTTCGAACAAAAGATTTTTTGTGCATTAACATTGTCCCCGTGTTTCAGCCTCGTCCCAGCCTGCTTCCACCTGAGCCCGACGGATTCCCCGGCTTCCCCTCTCGCCCTCCGCGGCTCGGGAGAATCCCCTCCAGCCAGCCGGATCACTGCCTCTCCCTCCAGCGTGGGCTCCATCAATTGTATAGCTCCTGCTGCACGGACCCTTCAGCGCTGCCTATTTGAATCCATTCCACACAATCCAAGTCTTGTATCATCGGAATCCTGCGTTTGAGTCCCACCTTTGTTTTGGCCGTCACCCCATGACACCCCTGACCCGTTCAGACGTCCATGTCATTGTAAAAATGTGTTTTTCGTGGAGAATAAACTCATTAAAGGGTCAAAAGTTCCCATCAATGCTGTCAACGTAAGTCCTTTGTTCTGGCTTTCGCAATAAGATATGTCTCTAACACCTAAAATAGTTTAATAAAAGCTCTCATTTCAATTTGAGTGTGTAACACCACCTGCTGGATGTTTTGGTGAGGAAGTGAATGCCGAGCTACCATCTAGTGCACGCTGCTGCTCTCGGTCTCTCCTAGCTGCACGGTGCTCCGCCTCCACAATGACGAATGATCTCCTGAGCTGTCTGTAGCCACCACCAGTCTCCGATCCTTCACCCTCTGGTTGGAGTTTCTTAGGACCCTTAAACTCCTTTTGGAGACCAAGAATGAGTGGAGGAGTCTGCTCACTGCCAACAAATCTTCCACAACACCAGAGAAATCTGCCTCCAAGGGTCCCAAAAAATGTCAGATCCAGGGGCTGAAGGATGTGAGACATGTGTGGTGGCCGGCACAAGAGTATGACCTCCTTGCTCTGTGCAGTCCGGACCCGTTCTGGATCCAGGTGGGAATGATGACCATCCATGACCAGCAGCAGCAGGAGCCCCTGTGCGGCGAACTTCAGGAAGTGCTCAACCAACCTCCTCCTGAACAGCTCTCTGTCCATATACCCTGCTGAGGACTTCCCGTAGAGAGCATCGGGGACCCCTTCCTTGTTATAGGGCCCCCCTGGATATCCCCCCTTATAAATGATGAAAGGGGGGATATCCTCCCAGCCACGTTCAGGCAGGCCAGGACAGTGATGTGTTCCCTAGTTTCCTGGATCAGCCTGTAGTCTGCGTCTCGTCGCAATTGTACAACTAGAAGGGTTTCTCCGTCAGCCCGTGCTCCGCCAGGGTGGTGCTGAGGAGCCTAAAATACTCCTGAATTAGCCCCCTCTTGGCACAGCATGCTCTCCCACGGTCAATGATGTCTGGGGCCCGGGCAGTGAGGCAATGTTTTTGCCGCTCCCTAAAATGTATCCATCACGTCTGGCCTAGCGTTAATTTGGGGGATTCAGGGTGCCGATGATTAATGCAGAGCGTGGGCCAGGACCTGAGGCTTCGTCAGTGGAAACCCGTGACTACCTTTTTAATTTCTTTCTGTCCTTCCTATTTCTACACTTTTTTTAAATCTTTCTTTCTTCTCTCTCTTCTTTCTTTTGCCTTCTTTTTCCCTCCCTCTTCTCAATTTCTGATTATTTTGAGTCTTATCCTCTCATTCACCTCCCGTCTCCTTTCTTTTGCTTCCTCTCTTCTCACTTTCAGCGTTCTCTCTCGTCACTTTCTGATCACAGGAACATAAACAGGAACACACAAGACAACATTGAGTTGAAAACATCAAATTCCACTTAACCTCTTATATAATCTAGCAACATATTATATTGGAGGTTTATCCACATAAACAATATGTCTGATCATAAGAACCACTGCTGGCTTCCAACAAAAGTGCAGTCTCTCTCTCAAATACACATTATTTGCATCATTAATAAAAGTGTATGGAAGTGCTTGATGTAGCCCGCCTTATGAAAAACATTGTATTTTACTTATTTAGGAGGTTGAAACAAACCAAGAAGCTTCCCAAACTGGCGCAATAATACTTTTTTAGACCCTGCCCCCCTTCCCTCAATAACAGATGATGTCACACATTAATGCCCAATTTTCATTGGCTAGATAAAGTAGCGTCATGCTAGCTACAAGCTACACTCATATCAGCAGTACAGTGAAATTACAGAGAAACTTTTCAGACTATCGACCAGTGGTACTCAACTAAAATGTAAAGAGGTCCAGTTAGAGAACATTTCTAGAAGCAAAGGTCAGAAAGATCGCAATGTACCTATTTATTGTGATTTAGTTGTATCAACATCTCCATCTAATCAATACACAACTAACAAGGCAAATGAATTCAGTACGATTCAAAGACTCGTTCGCTACCGTCTGATTTAGCTTCAGGTCCGAGTCCGGGTGGGACGACTTCTGGGTCCGGATCCGGACCTCGGTCCGTCAGTTAGTGACCTCTACTATAGACCATCGGCCCGAGTCTTCTTACTACTGTCTCTCATCAAATCTACTTTCCTGTATTAATTACACGTGTAAACGTTTGTATATATTCGTCAAATTTGACACGTAGATTTGTTGACATGCATAAATTAACATCACTTCCTTTTGTGGGCGATCAACCATAAAAACGTCTGTAAACAGCCTCAAATTACGAGTGTCACAGGAGTCACGTTAGGTGTTAAACAGCATGAGACAAATGTGAATGTTCTATTCCATGTTGTCATGCCATACAGAAAACATTGTTTTGTTACACTGTCCTGAGTGCCTTCTGAATTTAACAAATGAAGGCTGTGCTCCAGGAGGGCAGTCGGGGGAAATAAAGGACCCACATTAAAAAAAAATCTTAGTGTCCGGTCTCATCATTTTAATCAGGCTACATGTTTATCATACATAACTCACCTGGCATGATAAGTATGACACATTTGAACAGGTGAACTTATTCTACACGTTATATAAGTTACATGCACAGATACATATAAATCATGAGTGTGTGTGTAGCTGCTCAACGAAATAATGGATCAACACTTTCTGCTTAATGAAACGCATCGTTTTTATTCATTTTACACACTTTACATCCAATAAACACGAGATGAAAAATTAAGAGGATGATTTTACTTTCTGTTATTGATGATTTTAAGAAAAGCACACAGAAAGCTTATAAACATTAGTCATCATTCATCTTTAAAGAATAGAAAACCATTAAGTATTAAGAGAGAAGCTACACACATTGTTGTAAGACGAGTGATGAATGAACTGCTTGTTGCTTCCTCACTGAGAGCAAAACACTCAACAACACGACTCTTTTCTGTTCTTGCTCCTAAATGGTGGAACGAGCGCTCTGAAGACACCAGGACCGCAGAGAGTCTTCACATCTTCCGCCGCAAACTAACGACACACCTCTTCAGACTCTACCTCGACTAAAAGACTAGCACATTGTAGCACTTAAATTGTACTTATATTGGCTCTGATATATAGCATTGTAGATCGGCTAATTTGAAGAAATTACACTCATGTTTCTTGTTCTTTTGTGTCTGTATTCTTATGGTTGAAATGCACTTATTCTAAGTCGCTCTGGATAAAAGCGTCAGCTAAATGACATATGATGTAAAAGAAAAGATGATACAGCTTTATAGCATCCTCTTCCTCTTCTGGCTCATGACGGATGTAACTCCACCACCATGTTAACATAGTCGTCTCCTACTGCGTCCTGCAGTGGAAAGAGTTTTAGTTACTATACAGATGAAAACGGATGCAGCTTGTCTTTGTGTTACAGATGTATCAGTGTCACAGAACAGCATGGGAGCAATGCACCACCTGAAGTAGGTAGAACATGTTAAACACACACGCACACGTGATAAAGTTCACCATATCAACTTTATGAAGTGATGAAATGTCCATGTTGTGCTTACAGCTTCATGCAGGTTTAAAGCTGTTCTAACTACGTTGTGTTTTAATAGTTCTTAGTCTTCATTTTTGTAGGTTGTCATTGTGGATATTTTGTTCTTATGGATGATTGAATGGAAGCACTTGAAGAAGCTTTTATGGCACACAGCTTAGCAAAGACACCATCCAGCAGACACAGAGCATCATCAGCATTCGTTTGGAGACGTGCTTCACTGCATTGGAGGAGACTCTGCTCTTTAAACATCACCACCATTGAAGGATTATTCCTGTGCTAATGTTGTAAACCAAACAAGGGCCTGATCATGAAATATCTCTCCTCTTCTGATGTCTTACCTCCTGTGGTTTGGTGCAGCGTCTTGATTTCAACCAGCTGGAAGGAAAAGAAGAAGGAATGATTTTGTTAGTGTGAGCGATCAGGACTGAGACTCCGGTGCAGAGGAATAAAACAACAAAAAGATTTATTTCCAGGGTTCAGATCTTTACTTCACTTTTTCTCTTTACAAAGCCAATGAAAAGCAGCAGAGACACGAGCAGACTTTACACGCTGGGGGGGGGGGGGGGAAGCAGAGACATTCGCAAGTTACTCTGGGGGTATTATTTCACTTAAATGTAACATTTAGTTGTTTGTTAACCTCCCACCACTTGGGGGCGTAAGGACGCTGTAAATTAGGCCACAAGGTCGATATAATCAGCAGCATTACAGGAACAGGTGGTTGTTATTGTGAGGAGCAAACAGTTTGTAAGGACGTGCAAGAAGGTGCGAGTGTTGTTTGATGGTGTATGATAACCAACGGAAAAAGTGTTATGATATATTATTAATTTAGAGAAGGAAAAGGTGGATGAAGACAAACAAAGTGATCTGTCTTCTGTTTGTATTTGGAGAAGAAATCAATTACCATCAAAGACAAACTTTTTTCCAAGGATTTTTTCACGTGTTAAAACGAGCAGCAACCAAAAGATTCTTTTGATTGTCAAAGGGGTCAAGTAGAATAAAAGATTTGTCTTCTTTTCTTAAAGAAAACAGTGCAATTTATAATCTCATTATTAGGAGATGAGGATGTATCGCGACAATGGGAACTATAATACACTATGAGTCGTTCAAATGTCAGTGAGTAACAAGGAATGAGTTGTTATGTTTGACCTTCTGCATCTTTGTAAAATGATTTATAATATGTATTCATATTATCATCATTATGAATATTGATAATGAATTATGCATTAATGCATTACAACAGTCACAATGACACAAACTGGTGTGTATCTGCACACAATCATATTGTAGAAAAGGTTTTCTCACCACTCAAAGATGAGCAGAGTAGAGACGAGCAGGATGATTCCCAGGACCTTCACGATGAGTTGAGCACCAACCAGTTGATCACCTGCAACACAACGACATGGTCACTTTTAAAATGTTATCACTCAAATCATAATTCCTGCAGCGACCTTCAAATACCAACAGACGTCCTGTCGATAGCTGAATGTGTAGCTCATTTCTGCATCCACAATAACACAATGTGCCTCCATCACTGCTGGTCACTTCACAGCCATGAAGACTTGATGATGAGGAGAAAAGATCAGGGGTCTCTTTGTTAAAGCAGTGCGAAGGATCCCCTCTAAATATGTGCACACGTTCAAAGGAGGAAATGCACGCACTCCAAAACACATCCAGATGTGTAAAGCATCGCGTTGCCAGTGAGCCATTTCCTTTTAATGAATCCCAAATGAACCTGTGAAGGTGTGCGGCTGAACGCTCAAACACCATGAATATAAATGAGATCTTAGGTGTTGTGGCATCACAAGGGGGCAGGTAATAGAGGGCCGCTACATTCCTGCACAGGATGGGTACAAGATGGCCGCCACTGAAACTACATTTCCCAGACTGGAAACATGTCCTACATGGAGGAGCCGGGAACAAGGAAAAGCCTAAGAGGTCGACTACAAACCTTATTTTTTGGTTTAAGGAACTGTCTTTCTCCTTGGGGACACTTTTTGAGAATAAAACATTATTAGTAAACCATCAAATGTTGCCTGTTTGCTGACCCTGCTCCCCCACAGCTACCTCTTGTGACGTTACAGTGTGTACACTGTAACGTCACAAGAGGTAGCTGTGGGGGACACTTTTTTGAAAATCTGAGGAAACAGAAAGTTACGTCCTAAAAGAGTAACAAATACAGTTCTGTGTTTACCTTCTATAGTCAGATGGATCTCTGAGGATGTTTGATCACCAAGCTGATTGGTGGCCACACAGTAATAAACTCCTCCATCAGTCACATTGAAGCTGTAAAAGTCTCCTTCAGATACTTTGATTGGTGCATCTCTGCTGGTCTTGAACCAGGTGAAGCGTCTCACAGGAGGTTTGGCTCTGCTGGAGCAGGTCAGGTTCACCCGGCTACCTGCTGACACCCGACCTGATGGACAGATGGACGTTGAGGTGTTCTTGGGAGCGTCTGAGGAAAATGTGACATTAAAACTTTATGCAGCTGACATCGTGTCAACACATGAATCATCGTATGCTGACAGGATCAAAGAACAAACACTCACATGAAACACTGAGAGTGTTTTCACTTGCTTACCTTGACTTTAAGCAAATCTCTATGGAAACAAAAAGCTGTGTCCCTAATAGAGTAACAAATGCAATACACTTCTTTTGTTTACCTCCTATTAACTGATGGATCTCTGAGGATGTTTGATCACCAAGCTGATTGGTGGCCACACAGTAATAAACTCCTCCATCAGTGACATTGAAGCTGTAAAAGTCTCCTTCAGATACTTTGATTGGTGCATCTCTGCTGGTCCTGAACCAGGTGAAGCGGCTCACAGGAGGTTTGGCTCTGCTGGAGCAGGTCAGGTTCACCCGGCTACCTGCTGACACCCGACCTGATGGACTGATGGACACCGAGGTGTTCTTGGGAGCGTCTGAGGAAAATGTGACATTAAAACTTCATGCAGCTGACATTGTGTGAACACATGAATCATCGTATGCTGACAGGATCAAAGAACAAACACTCACATGAAACACTGAGAGTCTTTCTCTCCTCTGACGTCTTTACATCTTTTCCTTCATTCACAGGATATCTGGCAGAACAGTTGATGATGAATCCATCATGTTCATGTGACAGAGTGATGCTCTTGTGGATTCTAGTTGTGAAGGTTCGATCTGTGTTTTCCTCCATCATGTGGTGAGAGTCTGGTTGGAGGTTCCAGGTGAGTTGAGGAGGAGAGTGTGGACAGGGAGTGGAAGCTGAGCAGCTTATAGAGACAGACTCCTTCTCCTTCACATCACCTGAGATCTCAATCCTGGGCTTTGGAGGAGAATCTGTGGTTTTGAATCAAATCAATTAATAATTACCACGCGTATGAGGCGCATTTAAATTTGTATGTTCATGTATTTAAAATAACACATTTTCGTTCTTTTATTTATGTTATAAGCAAAGTTTGCCCCCTACAGGTGAGACGGTGCTCCTATGAATTTGTGTGAATGGGGAAACGATGAGGGCAGATATCCTCTTTGACCTCGGCCTCAGCCCTGTGACTGTGCCTGATTTGCATCATCAGACATCCAAACAATCCAACTTGTCTTACTTTTATGTTTTTCATTACAATAAATAACAAGCAAGTGACCGGGTTTTAGCAAAAGATTGAGTACCAAAATATGAGAACTTGTTTTCTCCTTTCCCACCTCACAACCCCTCAGATTTAACTTGTGACCATCTTTAGGGGAAAGTAAAACTTTCACTAATTAATGTTGTCAAAACAATGACGGTAAATAGTCAGAAAAAAAGGAGCTTTTGAAACCTTTTTTTTTCAAGCATTAAAAACAAAGATCGGCATGCAACTAGTAGTGAAGAAAAAATCCATTCATATGCAGAAAGCGTAAAAATTTCATTCCCTGGATAGTGTCTGTAGATATTTATATTCACACTAAAAGTTAGCTTCTACTCTTTTCGGTTTTATTCTAAAAAATAAGATTATTGATTGTTTAATGAAAACAAATCTCTTACCTTTAACTGTTATTTGGAGAGGATCACATGAAGCTGTTGCTCGAAATTCTTCGTTCTCAACCCTGAAGTAGTATGTGTCTGTGTATGTTGTTTTTAAACTGGAAAATAAAGTGGTGCAGTTTTTCTGACTCAAGTCTCCAGTAAAACTCATCGGATATGTGGAAACTGTCCCACTACTGTTGAAAATCACATTATTTGGATAAAGGCCAAAGCAATGGTCATTTTTAATCCACACTCCAAAGGTTGTTGTTTTGCTGTTAAATTCCTTTCCTTGTTTAACTCTGAAGTTACATGGAATTTGCAAACAAGATCCAGTCAGTGCTTCCATCTCTTTTGGTGCAGTGATGAATAGAGCTGTAATCCCACAACAATCAGCAGAAGCACCTGTGAAACAAACTAATGATTAACAGTGGTGATTAAAACGTGTAAAAACACAACAATAACATGAACACAAAGAGAAATATACTTCAGCAGTAATGTTTTGCGTTGTGTTCTGTTTTTCCCCCACAAGGCCGAGCCCAGTGGGACCAAACCCGTCTCTGTCTCCAAATAACTACGTCACTTTTGTCTCCGTGATAAAAGAGCTCAGGAGGAAAACACAGATTGTAACATTCACTAGAATTTAGGTTGAAATGATATTTTCCAAACAGTAAATGATTGAAGTGAAACACAAGTGAGTGAAGATGAAGCTCACCTGAGAGGAAGAAGACACTGTGCAACACGATGGCTGTCACCATCCTAACAGACTGGTCGGCCATGACACTCACCACCTGATTCACAAACACAACATCAGTGTTGATTGATTGATTGATATCTATCATCGGTTAAAACCAAAATGGTTTTAAGACAGACAGATTCATAACGAATGGGCTTCAGGCCTCATCTCACAACTACGAGAGTTGTTGACAGACGTCTCTTTGTCATCTGTGGTCGTTTTTCACAAGTTTATCCTGTGAATCCTGGTAATTCATTGGTGCACCTTTGGTTAAATGCAGAAGACTGAATGGACAGAGAAAACTACGGTCACTTGCCTTAGTTATGAGTTATGACTTTGATGGTGAATCTTTAAAATTCCTGGACGCACACTCGCTGCTATAAACAGATAACTAGAGATGGTGTTCAGAGTAAAGGGGAGACGGTGAAAACCACCAGACTAATATCCTGCCACCATTGTGTAAATTCATGTCAGAACGTTATTCTAGACGTTTGAATCAAATGCAATCATAGGTTGAATTCCTTCAAAGGGAAGTTTGTGTAAGAATCAGTTGGAACAGTTGAAATTACAACTGAGGGAAAAGGAGAAGAAGGATGCAGCTCAGCATGCAGCCCCGTTATAAAGAAAGCAAAAAAGAACATTTCAGTAAAACTCATCGGATATCTGGAAACAGTCCCGCTACTGTTGAAAATCACATTATTTGGATAAAGGTCAAAGCGAGAGTCATTTTTAATCCACATTCTAAAGGTTGTTGTTGTGCTGTTGAATTCCTTTTCTGGTTTAACACTGAAGTAACATGGAATTAGCAAACAAGCGCTTCCATCTCTTTTGGTGCAGTAATGGATAGAGCTCTATTCTTATCACAACCAGCATCAACCCATAACACAGAGCGGACTTACAGCAGTTATGATCCAAATGTGTGTCACAATAGTGGAGATCAAGGACGTTGGCGAGCAGAGTGTCCTGAGCACAAAAGGATGAAACCTTCACACCAAACGTCTGATTGAGGGAAGCAGCATTTGCTTGATGAGCAAATGACAAAAAACACTTTCTTAGTGTCACAAAATTGCCCAGTGAATCTGATGAGGGGATCTGGTGTGTTATTTCAGCATTGTTGTTGAGCTCAACATCAGATGGCTTCAAAGTGTTGAAAAAAGCTGATCTCCAGTTATTTCAGATGTTTAACTAGTGTCAAAATATTACCTTGTACATCTCATGTAAGCGTAGGGCCACTAAAGAACATATGAAGAAGTGTGTTATGACCAGAAGTTGGAGGTCAGAGGAGGCTGCTGCTGTGTCTGTATCTCTCCCTCCAGGAAACAGTGTTTCTTGGTTCTACTCCACACATTTCATTGACTAAACCATCTCACTGGGAACGGCAGCATTTTGGTCCAATGTTGCAGCAGCGTCTCGGCCCTACAGATTTCAGACGTGGTGTGGAGGATCCTCAAAGGGTTTAACGCTAGTGGTAATGTAGGTCGCTCTGCATGGATCACAAGAGTAAGTGTACACAGAACAGTAGAGCTGGTCGAGGAACACACAGACACGCAGACTTGTATTCAGTCGTAGCGGCAGATTCCAGAGCTGTCACAAGTATCGTCTTCACTCCGCGCCACACACAAATACCATGTGGGCCTCATTAAAGGCGCAGCGCCATTGGTAGTGTGTCCTAAATCACATCACAGGCCGTGCCTCAAACAACACCCACTCAAACAAAAAGCCATCGATGGTGTAAGACCAGTATTTGAATCCCTTTTTAAAATCAGGTATTATTATACTATGTGAAGATTCCGCTGTGCACGCACCAATTTTACCAGTAAAAAAGGTTTGCAAGCAGCAAATGCCGCCACCTATCGACCAGAGCCAGAAGTGGAAAATCCACACACAATCTTGTCACTAATTTCCACCACATGTCCCTCTTATCAAATAATGTATTATGTAACAGTCACTGAATAACTCTGAGTCTCTGATGCTCTGCATTACAGGACTAAAGAACTTCTCAAACTTTTATTTGTGTTATTACAATTTAAAGACGACTATTTCCTCATCCATAGTTTGTACTTCCTCTTCCTCTCAAATATCTGTTTAAATCTTCCAAATTCTCTGTGCATTGAAACAACAGGCAATCGGTAAAACTATTGGTGAATAGTTATAATGTAATCTCTCGTAACATTATGATATTTCAATAAAAATAGACATTAACAAGTATTGAAGGTGACATTAACTTACATTGAGTGAGTGTTTCTTCTTCAGTGCAGTCTGCTGTCTGACAAGTTCAATGCAGAAGTCACAGGTCTTTGAACCAAGATGGTCTGTGAGAGGAAGGAGGAGGAACTGGGAGGTGGAGCAAAACATCACTTCTGGTGTTCCTGCAAATGGCAAATAACATATAATTCACACACTTTTATTGTACTAAAACCACTACTCTGAAAAAATACCATTAATTCCATTAATTCACCAGCCAATGATTAAATAAAAGTCAAATTAATAAATGAAACATTTAGTGCATTCATCATTTTGAAATCTATTATTACAATCAAAAGGGTTAAGCACACTGGATAAAGTCAAAGAAAGAAATGGATTCAAATCACGAAGCTGATTGGTGGCCACACAGTAATAAACTCCTCCATCAGAGACATTAAAGCTGTAAAAGTTTCCTTCAGATACTTTGATTGTTTCATCTCTGCTGGTCTTGAAGCAGGTGAAGCGGCTCGGATAAGTTTTTGTTTCGTCAGCGTCATGCTAGCCAACGAGGGGCATGGGCAGAAGGGGGGCTATGTTTTAATAAAATGTTGGGTTTAATATTATGGTTAAAAAATAACTTTAAAGAAACCTTTAAAACAACTTTAAAAAGGTTCCTCTCTTGAGAGAGTATTAAAACCTTTATTTAAAAGTCTGAATACAGACTGTCCCCATCATGTTGTTAAAAAAGGCTTTATGGTCCCACAAAAGTATAAATAATATTACTTTTTTTGTTTGTCTTTTCTGTTTCTGTCTTTTAGATTTCTCAATTTACGACGCGGACTGGGGGTGAGTTGGGTGGTGGCTTCCGGCGATGAATCACTGGATGGATCAAGCAAGGTAACGGAAAGCTTTTGGGGGGCTTCTCTGGAGGCCCAGGGTTAGGAGGAGATGGGTTAACTCAGGTGATTTGGGATTTTTTCCTTTTTTCATGTGTCTTATCCGACACCCCCGTAAAGTTTGGGTTGTTGCCTGAGCCTGTAAATCCACCCACAACACAGTCAGAGTCCAGATCTCAGCGAGAGGAATGGGAGAGAGGGGTTCAGGAGGGAGGTTCAGGTTAGGGCTGGGGTGGGGGGGATAGGTTAAGGTTAGGATAGGGGTCCAGGGTGGGGCTAGGAATTAAATTGTGATCCGGACCCTGACTGGTGCCCAACCGGAGGCGGTGGTTCGGCCCAGATCGAGCCCGGGGGTCAGGGTCGGGGTCAGGGCTATCCTATTGTGGTGGCGGGGTGTGGTTAGCCCAGCTGCAGAGGGGAGAGCGGGGGAGTGGTTCAGAGAACATTGCCGGCAGGTGAGTAATAAGCACTGATTGTCTCCTTTTCATAAACAGTGAGCAGGACTTGGAACGAGAGACTGATACAGACGCTCAGGGCCGAGGCCGAGGACCGGAGACGACGAGCGAGCAAACAGTGAAAAATAAAAGTCAGTTGTTACTCCCACCCGTGTGTCTGAGTGTCCTTCAAGAGAACCCGCGGAGATAGCTCCAGCACAGCTACACCTATACAATCCTACATTGTATGTCTCATCCCTTGTACACATTCTTATAATGGAAAATACCATTTCTAAATGAATACAATTAATTGCAGAAAGTTTTATTTCACGTGAGAACTCTGACTATACGACTTCCCCTGTTCTTGAAAGTTCTCAGAATGTATTGTGTGTTAGATACTCTCCACTTCTCCTTATTCATCTGTTAGAGCCACAAAGCTAAATAAAGGTTTCTCACCTCACTCAGAGTCGCAACACCAACTAAACAAACAAGTAACTGCCACGGTGAGAGGCAGATACTTTTCATTTTGGTCGTCTTGTAGTGAATAGAATGTCCTGCGAGGATGATTATTAATGCATTATTAACTGGACTCCTGCTCATGTGCATTCATATTTATTTAAATAATTGTCTCCAATTGTCATTTCATAACCAACTGTTTTGACTTAAACTGTTTGCACTTTAAGATTACCTCAAATATGAAACTAAATTCTCTTCAGGCTTACAGACATCATTTGTGGTCCAGCCTGTTAAAATCATGAACTATTGTCTGTTATTTTTACTTTGAGCGAGAGAGTGTTCATCATCATCATCATCATCATTATTATTATTATGCGCCTTATGCGCCTATTATGCGGCTTACAGGAGGATGTGCTCTTCTTTCCTATTTACAAATTAATGAATTATTCTTTACGGTACATCTTGTCAAAAAGATCGACTTTCTTCTACAAAGTGTAGATGTTGTGTGTTATTTTTACTTTGAGTGAGATAGTGGTGATCGTCATGAATCTGCATACACCTGTGGACCAGGTGAGCTGATTGTGTGTGTGTGTGTGTGTGTGTGTGTGTGTGTGTGTGTGTGTGTGTGTGTGTGTGTGAGTGTGTGTGCGCGTGCGTGCGTGTTGTGGCCCAGCTGGTGAGCAGTGCCCCACGTGACTAAGTGTGTTAGTCATGTGGCGAAGGTGATGAAGGCAACCAAGAGGCCTGGTGTTGGATCGTCGGTACGACCCCAGAGGATCCGCATAGGGAACTCCTCCCCACCAGGTGTCTCTGGTTGTCCCTCACAGGTGGATGGAATCAATCAGCCAATCAGGAGCCTTTTTAACCAGAGGACACAGAAGGGAGACAGAAGGAGGAGGAGACGACGTTGAGCACAAGCTCGAGATGAGGGACGCCTGCTCCGGTTACGGGGCAGTGAGCGTTTTGATGAATAGGGGAGAGAGCGAAACATACAGACGTCGAAGCTACGGGTGGGGTGGAAAACAAACGTGAAAGAGCGCAAGAGTAAGGCGCAGGCAAGGGCTGCTAGTCCTTGTTGGTGAGGATGGCTAGGAGAGAAGGATAGAGTGATAGCATGGAGCTAAGTGAGGAAGAGACGCGAGTAGGGAAGGAGAGTGAGAACTGTTTTTTGGATTTGTTAGATACAAAGTAAGGGAGTTTACACCAAAACCAACCGTGAGGGGGCAAATGCCAGAAATTTGAAAAACATACTAGACTTTACATTAGGTCAGAAGAGAGTGGAGCTATCCTGTGCTAAAAGCTGGAGAAGAGGTAGCGGTGACTAATAAACAGAAAGCTCAGTCGTTGGCCGATACATTTGTAAAGATACACAGCAATAACAATCTGTCTGAGGAAGAAAGGCAAACCAGAGAGGAAACAAGAGGAAAAAATAGGGAGGCACTGAGGATGAAGGTGAGTTGAATGTACCGTTTTCAATAGGGGAGTTAAAAAGAGCAGTTGCCAAAACTAGAATGACGGCCCCATGAAATATGGTACATTATGGTAAAGCATCTAAGTGGAGAGGGGTTGAATAAGTTACTAACGTTATACAACAAGGTGTGGGAGGAAGGTAGCACACCAGCAAGGTGGAAGGAGGCGGTGATTATCCCTTTAAGGAAGCCGGGGAAAGATGCAAGTGACCCAGCAAATTATAGACCAATTGCCCTAACATCACATTTATGTAAATTTATGGAACGGATGGTAAATGAGAGATTAATGTACTATGTGGAGAAAAAACAGATGTTAGTGGGGTGCTAGAGTGGTTTCAGGAAAGGTAGGGGAACCTTGGATTCAATCCTATGACTAGAAGACGAGGTAAGAAAGGCGCAGGCTCATAAAGAAAATGTGGCGGCTGTTTTTTGATGTAGAAAAGGCATATGATATGCTTGGGAGGGAACGTCTTTTAATTAAAATGCATCTAATGAAAATGAAGGGGAACCTCTTTAATTGGGTAAGGGAGTTTTTAAGTCAAAGAATAATGCAGGTAAGAATAGGAACGGAAAAGTCCGTTAGTATAGTAAAGTATAAAATAGAAAATGGGACACAGCAGGGGAGTGTGGTAAGTCCTCTATTATTTTTCGTAGCAATAAACGACATATTTGGAAAGGTCTCAACAGATGTGGGAAGGTCACTATTTGCAGATGATGGGGATCTCAGCTGAAAAAACGAAAGTGATGGTCTTTACAAGACAGAGGAAAAGGGGAAACTACCAGCTGGATCTTTATGGAAACAAGTTATAATATATAAATAGTAGAGTCGTTTCGGATTTTAGGAGTGCTATTTGACAACAGATTAACATGTCTAGCAGGACGACTGCTCTTGGCGCATTCGCGGTCTTGTCCCTTTAATTATCTGCCCTATAAGAAGGGATCGGTAGATCTGCGCGCAAAATGTGTTCCATATGGCAGGTATGTAACCATTAATTGGACGCCAATGTGCCCGTCCGTGTACCATTTAATAATGTGAGTTTATGTGCAGGCGCTGGCAGGTTGGACGGCGCGTGTCGGGTAGTTTCCCTTTTGGTGCCGGAGCGATGTCACGCAGAGGGCTCGGCATCCGGCTACCCCGAAGCCTACTGCTTTTGGACTGCTGCTGCTTTTTACGGGGATAGAACAAATCTACTTTTTATAGGGTTAAAACAAACTCTATTTATGGGGATAAAATAACCCTTTTTAAGGACGTTGCTGTTTTATGTGGATTAATATCAAGGGAGACTTTCCTGGATTATTTTTGTTATTATTGTGATCATTGAATTGATTAGTTTTCTTACGTTTACCCAGTATCATTTTATATTCTTTTTGGATTTGTCTTTTGAACCTGTAAATTCTTGTTTTTGAATATATTTTTGGTCTCATTTGACTATTTCCCTCTTTGTGATTCCAGGTGCTGAGGGCCTCACTAGTGAACCCTTTTTGGTGAATGTCAGGAATCAGGAAACATTTATTGCCAAAATATGTCAAACATACAAGGAATTTGTCTTAGCGGTTGGTGCATGACAGACAGTGTAACAATAGACAACAAGACAGCAGTGCACAAGTAATAAAATAAAGTAAAATGAAATGTTAATGCAGTGGTTTGTAAAAAAAAAGGATAAGGAAATGGGTTAGTATAAAACAAGGGAATAAAGTTAAAGTTAAAAATTTAAAATTTTAAAAAAGTTTAAATCTTAAGCAAAAAGTGCATTAGCGAACAAGTAACAAAGTGACAAGTGACGACAAAGTGGTAATTTACAGTTAAAATGACAAGTGCAGTGTGA